GAAAGTGGAATCGGGGAATGTGAGAATTGGGGAATGTGGGAATTCGGGAATGTGGGAATTGGGAAATGTGGGAATTGGGGAAAGTGGAATTGGGGAATGTGAGAATTGTGAAATGTGGAATTAGAAAATGTGGGAATTGAGAAAAGTGGAATTGGGTAATGTGGCAATTGGGGAAAGTAGAATTAGGAAATTGGGAAATCGATAATTTGAGAATTTATAAATATAGAAATTTACGAATGTAGAAATCTAAAGATACAGAAATTTACAAGTTCAAGAATCTCTAAATTTGGAAAATTGCAACCGTAACCAATCTAAACACAGCTCCAAGTGCCAACTCGTGGATTGACATCGGTATTGTACTTTTGGACGCCATCTTAAATGTACCCCGATTGCAAATGGAGGTTTGGTTGTCAAGTTTTGTTGGTCGCGCGCCAACTCATGGGTTGACATCGGTAGTATGGTAATCGAATTTCTACGGTGAGGACATCATATTTCTTCGGGGAGAATCTCTATCTCCCGAGACACCTTGATAGGGGCGAATCGAAAATCCTGCGCACATGTAGACGTAACACGATCGTTTTGACAGGACGTGCTCGATCTAGAGGACCAGCTTAAATTTCGTTGTGGTGTACGTTTACCCAAGAAGGAAAAAACTATTATTGTAACCATAGCGAATATTCGAAGTAGATTCCTCTTCGAGATTCGAAGGGCTTCTTCCTTCCGGAAGAAACTTGTCAATACGAAGCCTCTCGTTCGAATTCCTTTCTGTTCAATTTTGTGTACTTCCTGCTAGTTCTAATCGGTTATAATCGACGTGGAAAGGAATTGCGTAGAACTTAGGTGCGTGGCTCGTGAGTTGGCAGATGGATTCTATTGGACTGAAATACATGACATAACATTCAAACTGTAATTTTCCAAATTCCCAAATTTTCAATCTGTCAAATCTACAACCCATAATTTTAACACACACATAAACGTAGGTCTTCAAAGACCCATAACCTCCAATTCAATGACCCATAACCTCCAAATCAATGACTCGTAACCTCCAATTCAAGGACGAATATCCAACCTCAAAGAATTCTCACTTGTCGAATACAATCATAGCAAATAATCCCAGAATCTGCAGTACGTGATTAATTTATCCCTACGTTTTAATTTTAAATCGCCCTATCGATCATTCGCAGTAACGAGCGTGTTTCATTGCTCCCCTTGCGCGTCTTGAAAAAACGTGCGTGCTGCTCACGAAGCATGAATTATGAGCTAATTCCGGAGGAATTAGAGCGTGACGACGAGCCACGTATTTGTTTTACCTCGTGCTCGTACACATTGCCCAGGGTGTTTGTAAAGGGCTAACGGCACGCGCCTCTCCCGCCGCCATTACGGAAATCGTAAACAAATCACAATGGCCGATACAATCGACGTGTCGAATTTAAGTAAAAACATCAGGTAGCGAACATTCTACGATTACGCATTTTTATGCATCTTTGTTCGGTTCAGTTAGCTAAGTCATAGGAGATGATTCACTTTGCGACTGTTGAAACATCATCGAAGACTGTGATGATTCGTTTGTGGTTGACTTATAATGGTGAATAATAGAGAATAATAATTCTGCGTATGATATCATCGGGTGTTCAGTTTTGAAATATTGTCTGAGGTCTTTTATGACGAGATCTTGGTTATGTCGTGTAAGAGTACGAGGCGTTATTTTAAGGAGGAAACAAATGTGATATGTATGTGGAGAATGTAGTGCATACTAACCTATAAATCTATAAGACATCTAATATGATAAAATGTCTCTTATTAAGGTTAGGTTAGATGTCATACAGCAACATAATCTTACTAAAACATTTATTTATAATTACATTGATTAACATTATTTATTTTTACATACTAAACATACAAGTTTATAAACATATGTGCACCTAAAATAAATATACATACCCTAAAGCAAATATATATATACCTAAATAAAGTTGAGGTTATTAATTAAATATTAAAGTTAGGTTAGGTCTATGAACATTGATTAACATTATTTATTTTTACATACTAAACATACAAGTTTATAAACACATGTGCACCTAAAATAAATATACATGTCCTAAAGTAAATATATATATTCCTAAATAAAGTTGAGGTTACTAATTAAATATTAAAGTTAGGTTAGGTCTATGAGCATCAATTCAAGAACACAGTATAAGAAACTATAGATCGAAAATGAAAGAAATTCATTCAGTTTTACTGTTTCACTAAAATGAATTTTTATCTACGGAGTTTCAAGAAGTATCACACCCTCCGTAACCTAACATTTTACATCCTGACCAGCTGTGTCTTCCGGATCGCAGGAAACCGTACGAACGTCCGTTTCCACCCTCTACGACCAATAACAGGATGTCGAATAATCGATAGATCGTGGGCGACAGTGATTGCTCGTCCGCTGACATTTTGATGGAAACGAGGTAATACTGCCGTCTGATATATGGCAGCTGTAAAACACGCGCTTTTTTTTCAATTTCAGTATTGCGAATTCAAATTTCAAGTGAATTGTGTTATTGGACACATTTTGTTCTTGATGATGTGAAATTGTTTTTAGGGTGAATTTTATTGTTGAAGTGTGAGTGGAAGTATGTGGTGGAGATAGGTACGGTGGACTCTTGTTATATTGCCGGTAGAGGAGAAGATTTTAGTATGGTTGTGTAGTACTGTATTACTGTACTGTCTACTGTGCTATTTTACTATTACTATTATTAGTATTACTATTACTATTGCTATTGCTATTGCTATTGCTATTACTATTGCTATTACTATTACTATTACTATTACTATTACTATTACTATTACTGTACTGAGTTACTATACTATCCTAGACCCTTACACTCCTAGATCCCTACATTCCTAGTACCCCATGTCCCCAGATCCCCACACTCCAAGTCCCCCAATATTTCTAGATCCCCACACTCCTAGTCCCCCATATCCCTAGAATTCCCATATTTCTAGGTCCCCATATTCCTAGGTCCCCATATTCCTAGGTCCCCATATTGCTAGGTCCCCATATTCCTAGGTCCACATATTGCTAGGTCCCCATATTCTTAGGTCCCCATATTGCTAGGTCCCCATATTCCTAGATCCCCATATTCCTAGATCCCCACACTCCTAATCCCCCATATCCCTAGAATCCCCACACTCCTAATCCCCCTATCCCTAGAATCCCCACATTCCTCGAATTTCCATATCCTTCTTCGAATATCCCACACTCCTAATCCCCCCTATTCCTAGAATCCCCATATCCCTAGAATTCCACACTCCTAATCCCCCATATCCCTAGAATCCCACACTCCTAATCCCCCATATCCCTAGAATCCCCACACTCCTAGAATCCCCATAACCCTAGAATCCCCACACTCCTAATCCCCCTATCCCTAGAATCCCCATATCTCTAGAATCCCACACTCCTAATCCCCCATATCCCTAGAATCCCCACACTCCTAGAATCCCCACACTCCTAGAATCCCCACACTCCTAGAATCCCCATAACCCTAGAATCTCCACACTCCTAATCCCCCTATCCCTAGAATCCCCATATCTCTAGAATCCCACACTCCTAATCCCCCCTATTCCTAGAATCCCCATATCCCTAGAATCCCCATATCCCTAGAATCCCCACACTCCTAGAATCCCCATATCCCTAGAATCCCCCACTCCTAATACCCCATATCCCTAGAATCCCCTCATCCCTATACCCCTATAAACCCCCAGCACCACGCACAGCACTCATACACCCCAAATCCAACAATCCAAAAATTCACTCACACAAAAAATTCAGAAACCCGCAAATTTAATAAACTTGCCAACGCCTTTCCAGTATCCCACTCTATCCCACCACATGCAATTGGCAACGCGTGAAGATCACTGTCAAGGTCAACGCCGTAAACAGAACGTTGCTCCACAGTTGCCTGACGGGTATCAATTTAAAAGACCTTTAAATCGAGACCACGCGATTAAAGCCTCGAGAAAAGGAAGAATTTGGAAGTTAGGCAAACCGGAAACTTCAGCACCTGAGTAAGAGGCCGATCGTGCAGGAAGCTCGAGGCGGCTCGCGTTGCGGAATCAGCGACAGTCGCGCGCAAAGCACCGAGCTGAGCAGGAGGCAGCGCGCGCTACGCTTCCTGCCGATCTTAGTTTGAGAACAACTAACAGTTCGTTAGAATATCAGCAACGTTTCGTGTGTCCAGTGTGGTTTTGTTTAGTAATTGATCGAAGAATTGATTGTTAATAAAATTAATTTATTTGGCTGGCGTTCGACCACGTGGCAAGTCGCGCTGTAACGTTCCCGTCAGCCGTACATGGTACGTACAGGAAAATTCTGGCGATTTCCATTTTCTTTCGTTTTAATATTTTGTTGTGGAGGATATTTATGGCTGTGATCGTTGTAATAGGGAAAGTGTCGGGAAACAGGTTTTTTTAGAACGGTTTAAGGGATGACGGTTTATGGTGAGGATGAAGGATTTGTGAAATGTGGCGTGGAATGCTGTGGTTTGGGATTTTGTAGATGGAAATTTGAGTTTTGGGGCTGGGTGTTTTGGGGATCTTACGGTTTTGGGGTCTGGGTTTTGGGGAGGTTGGTACTTTGAAATTTGGAGGGTTTTGATAGTTGGGGAGTGTTAAGGATTTTAATGTTTAGGGATTTGGGTATTTGGGAAGGATAGAATATGGAAATTTAGGGATTTTGATAGTTGGAGAGTATTAGGGTTTTTTAGGGATATTTAGGGATATTTTGGAGGTATTGAGGCTTTGGGTATTTAGGGAGACTGGTACATGGAAATTTGGGGATTTTTATAATTGGGAAGTATTAGGGATTTTTAGGGATATTTAGGGATATCTTGAGGGTATTGAAGAATTTGGGTATTTAGGGAGACTGGTACATGGAAATTTGGGAATTTTGATAGTTGGGAAGTATTAGGGATTTTTAGAGATATTTAGGGATATTTTGAGGGTATTGAAGCCTTGGGTATTTAGGGAGACTGGTACATGGAAATTTGGGAATTTTGATAGTTAGGGAATGTTAAGGATTTTAACGCTTAGGGATTTCAATATTTAGGGAGACTGGTACATGGAAGTTTGGGGAATTTTGATAATGGGGGAAGATTAGGAATTTTTTTATTTAGGGATAATTTTATTATTTTTCAAACTTCATTGACATAAAATATAATGTATCTACATTTCATTAAAATTATTGTACTTATAATGTGTTTCATAAAATGTTTTAAAATACTATATTTATATTTTTCAAACTTCATTGAAATAAAATATAGTCTTCCTATATTTTCATTAAAATTATTGTACTCACAATATGCTTTATAAAATGTCTTAATATATCTACATTTATATTTTTCAAACTTCTTTAACATAAAATATAATCGTCCCTGTATTTTCATTAAAATTATTGTACTCACAATATGTTTTACAAAATGTCTTCATAAATCTACATTTATATTTTTCAAACTTCTTTAACATAAAATATAATCGTCCCTGTATTTTCATTAAAATTATTGTACTCACAATATGTTTTACAAAATGTCTTCATAAATCTACATTTCTATTTTTCAAACTTCTTTAACATAAAATATAATCGTCCCTGTATTTTCATTAAAATTATTGTACTCACAATATGTTTTATAAAATGTTTAAATACATTTATATTTATATTTTTCAAACTTCATTGAAATAAAATATAATGTTCCTATATTTTCATTAAAATTATTGTACTCACAATATGTTTTATAAAATGTCTTAATAAATCTACATTTATATTTTTCAAACTTCTTTAACATAAAATATAATCGTCCCTGTATTTTCATTAAAATTATTGTACTCACAATATGTTTTAAAAAATGTCTTAATACATCTATCTTTATATTTTTCAAACTTTATTGAAATAAAATATAATCTTCCTATATTTTCATTAAAATTATTGTACTCACAATATGTTTTACAAAATGTCTTCATAAATCTACATTTCTATTTTTCAAACTTCTTTAACATAAAATATAATGTTCTTACATTTTCATTAAAATCATTGTACTAATAACAAGTTTTACAAAATACTGTCTATAATTTCCCATAAACATTTCATAAAAATTAACGTTCATTTTACCTCCACTAAGACCATTCGATCGATCGAAAACTTTCGCGCTAAACTGTACCGACAAAGTCTGCCTAACCAATCGTAAACAAAGTACTTTTTACACCAGCTTTGTTTGCCCAAGTATTTATTAGCTCCGTAGCGAGTTTTTCATGCCGGTTCGATCGTTCGACACACGACACGATTAGAGTTTATGGCGAAACACAGCAAGTCCGTGATTGTCCCTGTGAAACTTCCTGGCCGGTGTAAACAGGGTGAAGGCAACCGATCATTAAAAATAATTTCACGTTCGGAATCAACACGTTCAGTCTTTTAGCGAGAAAGGATGCTGGTAATTATTCAGCGCCTTTTACCGACTATGAATCATTCGATCGCATAAAAGTAAACGACACTTGTTGCATACGGAACGAGGTTACGTAAGGTTCTGTGAAAATGGCGGGAGTTTTCGTTACGACGAAGTTGTTCAATCATTTTTGTCGAATTTTCATTTTACTGAAATTAATGCAAAATTTTATTTGAAAAATGTGAGAGTAGTGATGTGTCTTTAACTCTAATGAAAAATGGTAGCTCTCGCTATATGGCCTTGATTGGGACTGTAGGTGAAAGTGTACAAAATTGTGGAGAGAGTCGTATAAATTGAATTTCATGCTATGTTTAACTATTCAAACATTGCTATAGAAAATTCTCTAATTTAAAAATATCCAAATTTATTACAAAAAGAATGAAAATTCGATAATTATTAAATTTATAAATTTGCACTAAAAACAATTCTCAAGTCTCTAAATTTGCAGTAAACAAAAATTCGATAAAATCTTGCTAATTTCCCACCTATAAAACCCTAGATCTCCAAATTAAAAAATTACATAATATCTAAAATATCTAAATTTGAATTTCCCGCGCAAAATTAACTCTGTTCTTAAATTGCAGGTTGTCGCGTGATATGACCCAGTCCCGCGAGGTTTTGGCAATGATGGACGCGCACACAACAACATTCGGTCGTAAAAGAGGCTGCACGGTGTCTCCCTGCGGTGCATTTCTCTTGACAGCTGCTTTCCTTATATCGCTGGTGGTCACAGGACTTCTGGTCTACCATCTTGCGCCGTGTCTCGAGGAGAAGGACGCGAAGCCTTGCAATGATCTCGGCAACGCGGTGTTCGAATCTCGTGGTATATTTTCCAGCGATTCGTCGAGCAAACAGAAATTGGATGTTAGATTACCTAGGTCCGTGGTGCCAGAATTGTATGAGCTGAGACTGATACCTTTTATTTGGGAAGGGAATTTTACCTTCAATGGTGAGGTGAGTATTTATTGAATTTAAGTATTTATTTATTGGGTGATTAGTATTTCTGATGGGTATAATTTCTCTAGGATGTCAAGTTTTTATAATAGTTACAATTTTCCTAGGATATTAAGATCTTCCAGTTGTTATAATTTCCCTAGGGTGTCGAGTTCTTCCAGTTATTATAATTTCCCTAGGATATCAAGCTCTTCCAGTTGTTACAATTTCCCTAGGATGTCAAGCTCTTCCAGTTGTTATAATTTCCCTAAGATATCAAGCTCTTCAGGTTGTTATAATTTCCCTAGGATATCAAGCTCTTCCAGTTGTTACAATTTCCCTAGGATGTCAAGCTCTTCCAGTTGTTATAATTTCCCTAAGATATCAAGCTCTTCAGGTTGTTATAATTTCCCTAGGATATCAAGCTCTTCCAGTTGTTACAATTTCCCTAGGATGTCAAGCTCTTCCAGTTGTTATAATTTCCCTAAGATATCAAGCTCTTCAGGTTGTTATAATTTCCCTAGGATATCAAGCTCTTCCAGTTGTTACAATTTCCCTAGGATGTCAAGCTCTTCCAGTTGTTATAATTTCCCTAAGATATCAAGCTCTTCAGGTTGTTATAATTTCCCTAGGATATCAAGCTCTTCCAGTTGTTACAATTTCCCTAGGATGTCAAGCTTTTCCAGTTGTTATAATTTCCCTAGGATATCAAGCTCTTCCAGTTGTTACAATTTCCCTAGGATGTCAAGCTTTTCCAGTTGTTATAATTTCCCTAGGATATCAAGCTCTTCCAGTTGTTATGATTTCCCTAAAATGTTAAGCTGTTCCAGTTGTTATAATTTCCCTAGGATGTCCAGCTCCTCCAGTTGTTATAATTTCCCTAGGATGTCAAGCTTTTCCAGTTATTATAATTTCCCTAGGATATCAAGATTACTTAGGGACCCATTTTCCAGCATTTTTCTCAGAATTCCAAAGACTTATAATTCTGCAATTTCTTAGAAGTTCAAAATTTTCCAGGGTTCTACTAGGTCCCCCTAGTTCTCTAAGGTTCACTAGTTCCTTAAGGTCTCAAGGTTACTGTGCTAACCTGTATTTTCAAGATTCCCTAAATCTCTATATTCTCAAGGTTAGACAGTTATGGTCCCCTAGTACAGTCCTAAAATTCACCCATTTTCTAACACTTCAAGCTTATGACATTGTAGAGTCCCTAGATTCTTTAAAGTCCCTAAGATTTTACATAGGTTCACAGTATTTATAGTAATGATATATCATAAATGATATCTCTTGTCTATTATAGTGAATAGTAGCATCCATTCTACCTCTTCAGTGTTACAATGTCATCTAAAAATCCCTAGATTCTCCAAATGTCCCTGGACACCCTATATATCCATACCACTCGCACTGATGGCTTAGAATACATGAAATATCTCGAGTACTATAACAAATACCAATACTCATCGCAATTGTCCAGCGTTCTACCGTTCTCCCAAAGTCCCTAAATTCTCCAAATCTCCCGAAAATCCCTAGAAACCCTATACGCCCACACCACTCATACTGATGACTCAGAATAAATGAAATATCTCGAGTACTATAACAAATACCAATACTTATCGCCGTTTTCCAGCGTTCTAACCTTCCTCCAAGATCCCTAGATTCTCCAAATCTCCCGAAATTCCCTAGAAACCCTATATATCCAATACAACTAGTATTGATGGCTTACAATAAACGAAATATCTCGAGTACTGTAATAAACACTGATACTCATCGGAACTTTCAAGCATTCTAACATTCTCCTAAAGTCCCTAGATTCTCCAAATGTCTTGAAAGTCCCTAGAAACCCTATACACCCACACCACTCGTACTGATGACTCGGAATAAATGAAAAATCTCGAGTACTATAACAAATATCGATACTCATCGCAATTTTCCAGCGTTCTAACCTTCCTACAAGATCCCTAGATTCTCCAAATCTCCCGAAAATCCCTAGAAACCCTATATACCCACACCACTCACACTGATAGCTTAGAATATATGAAATATCTCGAGTACTATAACAAATACCATTACTCATCGCAATTTTCCAGCGTTCTAACCTTCCTTCAAAGTCCCTAGATTCTCCAAATCTCCCAGAAATCCCTAGAAACCCTACATATCCAACCCTATTACTACTACTGGTACCAACGACTAAGAATATACGAAATATCTCAAGTATAATAACGAGCATCGTATACATGTATAACCAGTTCCGATATCGGCAATTTCCCTAGGGGACCGAATCATTTAGCTTATACCGTCGTGTATAGAATTTAATTACATAGTAGAGAGCTAAGATTGGATAACCTAATTGGAAATAGCGCGTCGTCGCATAGAAACGAAGAAATTTGTAGAATAATCAAGCAGTCAGGTTCACATTAGCCGAAGTATTTGACCTCAGCAGGGATGCTCCTCTCGCCCGGAGTCTCTTTGCATATCCTTGAACGAGAATTTTCTACGGACACCAGCAGCATGCTGATTAACATATCTCGGTGATCGTGCGAAAACTGGTTATTCGATCGACATCGATTTCGTAACGGTATACGTGTTGCACGAACCGAGCTGTTATTTTCTACGCTTTTTCCTCTTTCACCTTTCACGAACGAAAAAATACGTTTTTATAATTGCTCACAGATTTTCGCGAGCGACTACGGGGTTTCCTGATCGGAGAGAGATTGTCGCGATATCGGAGGATTAACGCGAGAAGAGACGATTTATTTATTTATTCCTTTGAAGGGAAATGTGATTTGTATCTGATCGAGGAATTTATGCTGAAACGTTTAATATCAGTTACGAAAGAATCGAGTAACCGAGACCGGTTTCTTTCTTTTTGTCCGTTTCAAACGATTGCAAAGAGAAATCGACAAGTTGCTCGATGTTTCGAAAGAGTTCAAGAGCTGAATAATTAATACATTTACGTTTCATTTTCTTCTTTCCCAACGTCCAGATATTAACCTAAACAAAATTCAATCAAAAAATTTGACCAAAAGAAATTCCCAAATCACTTTCCCGGTGTTGAATTTATGTATTCAATGCGTTCGCAGGTGAAAATTTTAGTGAACGTCACCGAGGACACTAGAAACATAACGTTGCACGCGGTGGACATGATGATCGACTTGGGTTTCACGAACATCAAGGAGTACTCGGCTACCAGCAACAACAGCAACACGATCAAAATCATGGGTCAAGAGAACGACACTGAACGGCAGTTTCACGTGATTAGAACGTCGGACACGTTGAAAAGGGGCAAGCAATACGTGCTGCATCTCAAGTTCGTTGGTCATCTGAAAGACTACTTGCAAGGCTTCTACAGAAGCTCGTACACCGTCGATGGCCAGACGAGGTAAATGGCCGAGATACGTTAATACAACTTCGTTTCGACATAGACTATGCCTTCAAAAAAGGTATCTTCCTGTGATATGAACCTACAGTCAAACTAGGAGATGGCGAGGTGTATTAAACAGTATTTTATAGACAGTGTTTTATAGACAGTATTTTATAGGCAGTGCTTTATAGACAGTATTTTATAGACAGTGCTTTATAGACAGTATTTTAAAGACAGTGTTTTAAATAGGTCTAGATTGATAATTGTCCAGTGGTTTAGATGAAAGAGTAAACTTTAGATAGGTGCACATGTAGACAGCTTCAAATTTTAGATAGCTCTAGGTCATCATAAGTGTCCATATGTATTTTAGATTTAATTTTGCAAGGTCATACGAAGCGGCGATTTTCTGTGACTTCAAGTAGATACAGAACGTGGACTTAGAAAGAGGTTGGGAACTTTCCCTTTCGCCGAAAAGAAGAACCGAAATAAAGATAGCCGGAAAAGCTCAATTTGAGGATCGAGTTATCGCGTGTTATTCATTGAGGCATCAGTGAGATATGGTTCTCGTTATTTGATTATACGATTTACTTTTACGACATGGAAGTAGCGCGGTATAATGGGAGAAGGAGAAGCAGGAGGTCCAAGTGGATAATGACATCGGTGGATACGTGGTTGGTTTATCAGTTATTCAGCGAACTGACACCGGTGTCATCGCGACCGATAACTGACTATTCTCGCTATCCGCGTGTTTTGTGAATTTTTTATTTTGCTGGAAGGAAGAGTAACTTATTGATTTTCTATTCCGTAAATTTTTCTTAAAATCCTTGTAAACATTTTCTATGTTCTTTTTAGAGTTTCTGTAAACTGTTCTTGAATACTTTTTCGAATTTTGTTTTTAACTCTCTTTGAAATTTAAAATAAGTCTAAAATATCCATAAACTCTTCTTAAACTCTCCCTGAAGTCTCCTTAAAATTTTCACAAACTTTCTTTGAATTTTCCCTAAATTTTCTTTGAACTTTCCCTAAACTTTCTTTAAACTCTCTAAAATTCCCCTTTGAACTTTAACATCTCCCTAAACCCCCAATTCCTCCCAAAATCTCCCTAACGAGACCATTTGATTCCCCATCCCAGGTGCACACCCCTCTCGATATATGGCAATGTCTCACATATCAAGATATCTAAATCATCCAAGTACCTCACACTTCGAATGACAATCTTGGAATAATATCACAGAAAACGGTAAGAAATTCTTACAAGCTTTCTTCATCGTAAACTTCTTTATTCGCATACTTTACAATCATCATTACTCATTTGTACATCACAATAAAATAAACATTTTACAAGCAGTTACAAGAAACAGAAGCTAATTGTTCACCTGTAAAAAAGACTGAAAGAACAACGTTACTGACCTATTCTCTTTTAAGTCGGTTAATTACCGTGACTACTGTTTATTCAAATTCAGTCGTGTCTTCGTTAACGGCTTATGACTTATTTGTCAGGTGCGTCAGTCGGAACAAACTAATCACAGCTACAATATTAAAGGAGACAACGAAAGTTGAAATGTCATATTCTGTATATAGTAAACCTTGACCATGCAAATTATAATTGCACTCAAACTTCAGGGAGTATTAAAAATTCGGGGAAGGTTAATTACAGTTGGAGTCAGACTCGTGAAAGGGGGAGCTACTGCAAGCTTGATATACGGTTGTCAACCCACGAGTTGGCGCGACAACAGGTTCACATGTAGATAGCTTCATATTTTAGACAGCTATAGGTCTCAGTTTTAAGTAGCTCTAGATCTTGATTATAGATAGCTTTAGGTCTTGACAAGTGTCCATATGTAGTTTAATCTTGCAAGGTATAGTTTACATAGACTTCGATAATCCACATGTCTTCAAATTTTAGATAGCCCTTGATAAGTGTCCACATGCAAGTTTATGTTCCATTCGAAAGAGATTTTAGATAGCTGCTCTCGGTAACTGTCCACACGATACCTTCAAATTTTAGACAGCTTCAGATGTCGACAATCGACATACAGATAACCCACGAGATGGCGCGTGACCCAAAGTAAAAGAAGCTCCTCACCGTGAACACTTCCAGTTACATTTCGGCGCATAAGAATAATAATGACAACAACTGCTGAAGGCAATGGCTATCTCGCTCACTCGAGAGACGTTTGCCGACTCTCATTGTTTTTCGCCTAATCGGTGCGCGTGACCGGCGAGAGCCAATTGTTCCGCCGAAAATACGTGTGAGGCGTCCATTTTTCTATTCTGACTAGCTCTTCTAAACACGTCGGCTTCGCGCGCCAACTCGTGGGTTGACATCGGTATTGTACTTTTGGGCGCCATCTTAAATGTACACCGATTGCAAATGGCGGTTTGGCGTCAGCTGAGCTAATTTGTTGACATCGGTAGTTTGCAGGGTCTGCTAAAAACCTTGTAGGTTAGGAGGTCAATGTAAAGTAACATAAACTTACAGTTAAACCTGAACTTAAACTTGAAACTTGATACTTCAAACTTGAAACTTGATATTTGGAACTTAAAACTTAATACTGTATACTTGAAACTTGAAACTTGAAACTTGATACTTCAAACTTGATACTTCAAACTTGAAACTTGGTATTTGGAACTTGAAACTTAATATTTTATACTTGATATTTGAAACTTGAAACTTAATACTTTATACTTGAAACTTGAAACTTGGTATTTGAAACTTAATACTGTATACTTGAAACTTGAAATTGGATACTTGAAACTTGATACTTCAAACTTGAAACTTGATATTTGGAACTTGAAACTTAATATTTTATACTTGATATTTGAAACTTGAAACTTGATATTTGCAACTTGAAACTTAATACTTTATACTTGAAACTTGAAACTTGAAACTTGAAACTTGAAACCTCCTCAACTTGAAACCTCAACTTGAAACTTGCAATCTTACATAAAATTTAAATAATAGCCCACTCGTTATTGAAGTAATCGTACTATTAGAAGATGCACCTTCCCAAGCCTTTTCATCAAGTACAACGGTCTCGTCATATTTCAAACGTGACAACTTATGTTTATTTAATGAGACATTCTCATAATTTCGATCGCGTGTTTCAGATGGATCGCAACGACACAGTTTCAGCCGACGGATGCGCGACGTGCCTTCCCTTGCTTCGACGAGCCGGCTCTGAAGGCCAGATTCCAGATCAGCATCGCTCGTCCAAGAAACATGACATCTATTTCGAACATGCCGAGAAAAGGAGAGCCTATGCCTGTGTGAGTGTAGAGCACTTTTGCCACATTTCTATAGCCGTTCACTTGTTTATGAAGTAGAGCTTTATTAAATATATTAAATCTTGTGTCGCTGATGATCGTCACTGAACATTTGTCCTGTGGTCTCCTTATGACTGTATATTAGTTTATCATTTATTCATTCTATTAATTTATTAATGTTACGATGGTTTGTCCTTAGTTTTTCTAGGGAAACCAATATATTTATACTCTTTACCTACAGTGCCCTTTTATCTATGAAACCTACTAGAATGCATTATTTTTGAGAGAGCCTGTAGTTCTCGTACGTCCTCAGAGACAACAGTTTCGCACGCAACGCGATATTCTTCGTACATTTCGTGGATTGACATTGCCTCAACTGTGAAGTATCCCCGGTTAGGTCAAATATATAATTGAAACGAGTGGAATCTAGTTTCAGAACAATTTCATGGAAGCTGCTGAAATTGAGTCATAAGTTTACGTAGATTGATGGTGTCGCATCTTTGACCTCGAGTCTGGGTCTGTGTCGATTAGAGTATTCATAATTATTTTAACAACTGCCATTAAACTCAACAAAATTGTTTCCTACAGTTTCAAAACATTTACGCGATTTTTTCACAGCGTCTTTTTCCTGTGTGATTTTTTTCCCGTATCGTTCAATTTCTTCAGGGACGAATCGATTAAAGTCATCACAAAAATTGACTTGATACGATGATGCTATTTAGAGTGATGGCAATGTTTTCGTCGGATTAATTAGCCTCTTTGAGAATATTTTCAAGAATGTGTATTCACAACGTAATAAACAATTTTATTCTTGCAATATACTAAATAATATTTCTTAGACTCGTAACAATATTTATTATACACAAAATATATTAAATATTTATCGAGTTCATAACGTATTAAAAAATATTTATTAAATTTGTTATACAATAAGTATTTATTAAATTTAATATTTTAAGTAAATATTTGATGTCAACTGTTACCAGGCCTGGCTTGCCATCATACATGTGGGACCATTATGAACGTTCGGTGCCAATGTCCACTTACCTGGTCGCCTTCATTGTCTCGGACTTCGATGTGTTGAAATCCGAATCTGGGAAATTTAGGGTCTGGGCGAGACACGATGCGATCAAGCAAGCACAATATTGCTTGCAGATCGGCCCGAAGATACTCGAATACTACGAGGACTACTTCAAGATCAAGTTCCCTCTTCCTAAGATAGACAATGTGGCACTTCCGGACTTCTCAGCTGGCGCTATGGAGAACTGGGGTCTTATTACTTACAGGTAATATTACTTTGTTTTCGTGGATGCTTTACGCACTAGATACTATACTTGTTATATTACTACGGAGTGACAGGGCACTTAGAAAGGGAATTTGAAGGGGGACAGGTATGGAGATTTGAAGATTTTGGGATTTGGGATGTGGAAGAGTTGGGATTTGAGATTTGGGATGTTGGAGAATTGGGAATGTGAGTTGGATATTTGAGGAGGTAGAAATTTGAAAAGTTATAAAATGGAGGAGTTGGAGATATAGGGTGATTGGTACTTGAACAAGTGGGAATTTACAGAAATAAAAATTTGAAGAGTTATCAACTTGAAGAGCTAGAGAAAATATAATTTGCAAATTTGAACTACGTTCGCAGAGAGACCGCCATGTTGTACCAAGAAGGTGTATCAACCAGTAGCAACCAGCACCGAGTGGCCACCGTAGTGTCCCACGAACTCGCTCATCAGTGGTTTGGCAATTTGGTAACACCAAGCTGGTGGACAGACCTTTGGCTGAACGAAGGCTTCGCTAGTTACGTGGAGTACATTGGTATTAACGCAGTAAGTTCATCAATTTTATGTTACTATCGTTAATAATGTCAACCCACGAGTTAGCGCATGAACAGCAAAAATCTGCTGACGCCAAACCGCCATTTGCAATCGGTGTACATTTAAGATGGCGCCCAAAAGTACAATACCGATGTCAACCCACGAGTTGGCACTTGGAGCTGTGTTTAGAGTGGTTACGGTTGCAATTTTCCAAATTTAGAGATTCTTGAAATTGTAAATTTCTGTATCTTTAGATTTCTACATCCGTAAATTTCTATATTTACAAATTCTCAAATTATCGATTTTCCAATTTCCTAATTCCACTTTCCCCAATTGCCACATTACCCAATTCCACTTTTCTCAATTCCCACATTTTCTAATTCCACATTCCACAATTCCCACATTTCCCAATTCCCACATTCCCCAATTCCCACATTCCCCAATTCCCACATTCCCCAATTCCCACATTCCCCAATTCCCACATTCCCCAATTCCCACATTCCCCAATTCCCACATTCCCCAATTCCCACATTCCCCAATTCCCACATTCCCCAATTCCCACATTCCCCAATTCCATAATTCCCCAATTCCCACATTCCCCAATTCCCATATTCCCCAAGTCCCATATTCCCCAATTCCCTCATTCCCCAATTCCCTCATTCCCCAATTCCATAATTCCCCAATTCCCGCATTCCCCAATTTCCACATTCCCCAATTCTCACAATCCCCAATTCTCACAATCCCCAATTCTCACATTCCCCAATTCCCACATTCCCCAATTTCCACATTCCCCAATTCT